TATCTGTGTTTTTTTGAAATGGAGGTAAATTATTATCACTTTATTGCCAACTTGACCATAGTGAATCAAGAATATCAAACATTTTAATTTCAGGAAGCCTATCAGCAACGTTTTGAGGAATGGCTTCAAAGTCAACCCGATTCCGAGGATGGTAGCTCAACCCAAGTGTCTCTCAATGATATAGCTTCAATATGGACGGAGGTAGTTATCTGTGTTTTTTTGAAATGGAGGTAAATTATTATCACTTTATTGCCAACTTGACCATAGTGAATCAAGAATATCAAACATTTTAATTTCAGGAAGCCTATCAGCAACGTTTTGAGGAATGGCTTCAAAGTCAACCCGATTCCGAGGATGGTAGCTCAACCCAAGTGTCTCTCAATGATATAGCTTCAATATGGACGGAGGTAGTTATCTGTGTTTTTTTGAAATGGAGGTAAATTATTATCACTTTATTGCCAACTTGACCATAGTGAATCAAGAATATCAAACATTTTAATTTCAGGAAGCCTATCAGCAACGTTTTGAGGAATGGCTTCAAAGTCAACCCGATTCCGAGGATGGTAGCTCAACCCAAGTGTCTCTCAATGATATAGCTTCAATATGGACGGAGGTAGTTATCTGTGTTTTTTTGAAATGGAGGTAAATTATTATCACTTTATTGCCAACTTGACCATAGTGAATCAAGAATATCAAACATTTTAATTTCAGGAAGCCTATCAGCAACGTTTTGAGGAATGGCTTCAAAGTCAACCCGATTCCGAGGATGGTAGCTCAACCCAAGTGTCTCTCAATGATATAGCTTCAATATGGACGGAGGTAGTTATCTGTGTTTTTTTGAAATGGAGGTAAATTATTATCACTTTATTGCCAACTTGACCATAGTGAATCAAGAATATCAAACATTTTAATTTCAGGAAGCCTATCAGCAACGTTTTGAGGAATGGCTTCAAAGTCAACCCGATTCCGAGGATGGTAGCTCAACCCAAGTGTCTCTCAATGATATAGCTTCAATATGGACGGAGGTAGTTATCTGTGTTTTTTTGAAATGGAGGTAAATTATTATCACTTTATTGCCAACTTGACCATAGTGAATCAAGAATATCAAACATTTTAATTTCAGGAAGCCTATCAGCAACGTTTTGAGGAATGGCTTCAAAGTCAACCCGATTCCGAGGATGGTAGCTCAACCCAAGTGTCTCTCAATGATATAGCTTCAATATGGACGGAGGTAGTTATCTGTGTTTTTTTGAAATGGAGGTAAATTATTATCACTTTATTGCCAACTTGACCATAGTGAATCAAGAATATCAAACATTTTAATTTCAGGAAGCCTATCAGCAACGTTTTGAGGAATGGCTTCAAAGTCAACCCGATTCCGAGGATGGTAGCTCAACCCAAGTGTCTCTCAATGATATAGCTTCAATATGGACGCAGGTAGTTAGTGGCGCAAAGAAAGGTAGAACCTACGGTCTTAGATCACAATATTCCGTTTGTCATTCTACGACATTGTTGTCCGGTGATGCGAGTTATTCGCAAGATCAAGAAAAGGTGGAAGCATTACGAAAAGAAGTTGAAGAGTTGAAGGAGGAACGGAAAGAAGATCGCGCAAATTAAACAAATTGCAGAGTCTAGTGAAGAAATTTATTAGCGGACGTCCATTTGATCCTTTGAATGGCGAGGATGGCGGGGATAATGAGTTTTAGTTTGTTATGGTTATGATGTTTGAGACATTATTATTTGTTGTAGTTGGATGTTTAGACTTGGTAATATTTACACTTGACTATGATTGTAATGTTTTAGACTAGATTGAATGGTGCTAGAATGTTTAACTCTTTTTGGATGTTTTAGTTACAAGTATTTATGTTTTGCATTTTATGGATTTGATTAGTTGCAATGGTGGATAGACTGGTTGAAATGGCGGATTTATTGGTTAGCATTGTGGAATAATTGGTTGGCATGGTGGATTAATTGGTTGTTGTATATTTGAATTGGCAGGTGGTACTGCTTAAAAAAGAGCTGGAATTTGGCAAAGAATTCCCAATTTTCCGACTGATTTCCGACCATAGTAGTTGCAAAATGGATCAAAATATTCCAGATTCAGGAACATATGCGACTATTGTAGTCGGAAATATAAATAAATAAATAATTTTAAATTAGATTTGCGACCACGGTAGTCGGAAATATAAATAAATAAATAATTTTAAATTAGACTTGCGACCACAGTAGTGAAAAAATTCAAATAAAATTAAATAATATTATAATTATGTATACCTTTTGCGACCGAAGTAGTGGAAAAGTTAATATAAAATTAAATTTAATTTAATTTGTTTGTGACCGCGTCAGTCGGAAAATTAACTACATTTATTAGCCGTTTTCCTATTTTGACTTTCCGACCGCTGTAGTCGCAAATTGCGGACGGATTCGGTTGCAAACTATTTCAGATCAGCTATTTTGCGACTACGACTTTTCGGCCTGAATATAGTCCGAAATTAGCATTTTCTGACCACTTTCTGACCGTTTTTGTAGTCGAAAAATAGCCATTTTCAAGTAGTGAAAGGACGATCATAAATTTTTGGCTCTCTGATCAAGGTGAAGTAATGGAACTAATTTTCGGAACTGAAAGCAAAAACAGAATCTTGCCGGTGCTTATGGTGAGCTCGGGTTGAAAGCAATGCTGCTGAATAGTAATGGCAAATGTGGCAGCCTCTCAATTCATATCTTTGAGATTTTTATGATATTTTTAGATAAATAAAAATATTCCTAATCTTTACAGCTTAATCTTTTAAATGAGGCGATCAAACACAGTTCAACATGGTACTAGATCATTTAAAGGTTTCAAGTCTCACTAAAACTCATTATCAAACAGTATGTACTTTCATGTGCATGGCCCAAGAAAAAGAACCAGGCCTGCACGAGGAGGTGTGTTTTTGATATAATCAAATAAATAAATGTGATATTTCCCTATTAGTTTAAACATTTAAAAGAGACGGTCACACTCAATACAATAGAGATGACTTATTAACTTAAACTTAAACTTGTAGATGAGGTAGTCACGTATAGTTCGACATAAATGACTCGGATTAAGAGCCAGATCTTTTGACACGAGCTGGAGTTCCTCAGTAGTAATGTGTGTTTAAACAAGAGGAATGGAGAAAATAAGATTTTGTCAAGTATGATATACATCCATCAGTCATAAACCTTATGCTTAGAGAAGGACAGAGAAAATCTGGAAGAGAGAATCTTTTGTCTTTCCTTTTGTTTATCCAAACCTTCTCTGAATTTCAAACTTGTTTTCAGTACTCATTAGCAGCAGTGATAAGTTATGTGTCTTGTTATGTTTTGATGATCTAACAAACTTAATGATAAGAACCAGATCGGGAACCTGTTACACATCCCCAATGTGCCAAAGCACAACAACTTTCAAATCGGGCACAAGTTCCAATAGCTAGAGTCAAAGAGACGACGGAGGGAACAAATGGACATTAGTTCCCCTGCTAACAGTAAAGTCGCTGCAACTGTTCCTCTGCACACACGCAACAGTGTGAACAATGCAGCAGTCACTTTATGGAGCATGCCTTGTACCGGATATTTGCTTGCATCATCCAAGTGACATCTCTTGGATATTATTAACATGAAGCAATGAAGAAAACATACACTTGCACATTCGAGAATTAATCAAATTTCCTTTCAAGTGTATTGACATCTTGCAAGTGACTTCCAGACTTCAAGAACAAAGAACAACATAACGAAGGACATGTTTCCAACATTGTGTTATTATATGTCCTTAGTTGTGTTGCACCTTTGTTAAAGTGATTTACTTGTAATTCCTACTTAACTTAGCTAGAAGCATTGTGTAGGAAATCATTTGTAAAACCATAAACCTTGTGTTTGTGTCTTGGCTAGAGTTAGTTAAGTTGTGAGCTTTGTAGTAGAGTTATTACAAAGATGCTTGTAATAGAGTTATTACAAGTGAGTGAGGGATCAAAAGTTTAATTCCAAGGTTACAATATGTTGTAATCTAAAAGTTGCTCGGTTAGTGAAATTGAAATCCTACGAGTGTAGGTCGTGATTTTTAATCCCATGAGCTGAGAGTTTTCCACGTAAAACTCTGTTGTATCATTTACTTATCTCTTATTGTGTGTATTCTGTGGAAACTGATAGAGAACCAATTACTCTATACAGTTTGGTGACCCTAAGTTTCTATCAAGTAGTCATGTCACGCCATACTATTAAAAGAAATAGAAACTATACAGATAGAACAAGAGGCATTATTTGATCCAATGCTACATGCGTTAATTGAAAATCATTTATTGCTGACATGCCTAGAAACTACAACAGACTAAAACTTTAGCCAGAGAACTGATCAGTCACAAAGACAATCTTGCAAAGATCATAACAGTGTATGTTATGCCATCGATGAAGCTTCAGAAACATACATCAAAAGTTAAACTCTCAATTCATATCATAAATTTAATTTATTACTACATCGCTATCATTAGATCCTATAGTGCAACAATGCAGAAGTTCCACCTAGACCTTTTCTGCGGAAGTAATCAGCATAGTCTTTCACACGGGTTGTGCGATATTTTGGAGGATTTTCTTCTGACAACAATTCCTTAATTAGTCCATAAAGCTTGAGAGTTGGAACTAAACCAGTATAGAAGAAGCTTGCAACTGATACTCTTGGACCAACTTTATTTTCCAATACTCTATGCTCAACACTTAGGTACTTGTCATTTGATATGAGCTGGAATAAAACACCAGAATAATGACAATTGGTATAAGTACCAAACTGAAGGAGAGTGTTGGAGTAACACTAAAGTTGTCTCAGTATGATCTATAGGTCACGGGTTTGAGCCGTGGAAGCAGCCAATAATGCTTGCATTAGGGTCGGCTGTCTACATCATACCCCTTGGGGTGCGGCCCTTCCCTGAACCCTACGTGAATGCGGGATGCCTTGTGCACCGGGATGCCCTTTGTATAAGTACCAAACTAGGTGTTATGTTCATTATAATTGAATAGATCTAAGATTAGAAAAAAATGAATATATAATACGAGCCTGTAGAAGATCTCTAATGTTCACCACAAGAGCACCAGGTGTAGGAGTGTTTACCCGAAAAACGGATAGAGTTGAATTTGTACGTAGTTCTAAAGGTATGTGGTATAACTCAACACAAATCGTAAGAGTAAATAAGAATATCGAATATTGACTGTAAAGATGAAAAATAAGCAAAGTTGAAAAGAGGATGATTTATGGGTTAAGCAAGATGAATCAATCTTATGAAGCTAAAAAAGGATAATTCTTCAATATGGGAGTGTATGATATCTGAGTTACAATGTATGCAAAAACTTCCTCCTTTACAGAAATATGGTCATCCCTCTTATAGTAGAGGGATCATACTTTAGATATAATTAAAAATAAATAGTGGGGAACCCATGATACATCAGCTTTTATTTAATTTTCGCTCAGATTCTTTCTCTTAGTACGGTTGTAACGGCTCTTGTCTACGAGCTCGATCTTGATCAGACTCGGTATTGGTCGGTTTTCAATTTTAGAGCTCGATGCGGGTTTGAGCTCGATGTTGACTCGGGCCCAATATTAGGCCGGTATTGATTGGCTTTTGGCCCTTAAGCTCGATTCCACTGCTTCTCATCATAGTTCGATTTGGACCCGAGATCGATAATGACTTTGAGCTCGGTATTTGAGTTGTCCCTGAAACTTGAAGCTCGTTTGTGTCTTCTCCGGATCCCATCTAGATATTATGAAGACTTTTTTCGGTCCATCTCTATCAGTCGTACGAAGGCCAAAATCAATTTCGACCGTATACAAATAGTCCCCTCGTTTCTCGAAAAGGATGTGGCAAGAAACGATATGATTTTACAACAGCTCGATTGGATGTACACAGAATTTTGCATCGAGTCCGACCATGACGTACGTGATAGTTGTCCCGTCGGTTCAGTTTACCAAGGTATTTAATGTGTGTCAGACGTTGGTCGGCCACCACTGATATTGAATCGCCATCGCTCAATCTATAAATAACCCCTCTTTTTACTATTTATCACTTTTACATCTTCAATCTTCAATCTCCAAATTTTCCAAGTTCTTTCTCGCATCTTCTGAGTTCATCTGTAAATCTGTGATTTTTCTGAAAATATCTTTCTTATGTGATTTTTACTGAAAAATCTTTCTTCAAAACACCACATCTTTGTCATCTCCTTCTATTTTCCATTTCTAAATCAAAAATGGCGAAAACATCTAAAACCATTTCTCAATGAGAAAAAGCTTCTTCTTCACAACCTACCGTCGACAAAACACCGATGGAGCCACGGCCTGAGGAGTATGTTCCTGGGGGGTGTGTTCTTACCTCTGATTTTAAGGTCGATAAAGACTTGTCGGTTCCCGGTCGATGCGAGCCAATATCGAGGTATATGTGCTCGATAACCGAGAGGCATATCGAGCAGCTGAGGAAAGACTGTAACTGGGAGAAAATAGAAGTGATAATCCCGGCTCCCAAAGAAAATATCACCACTTATGTGAAAGGGTTTTTAAGTGTGTATACTTACCCTTTCACATTGGGCCCCCTCGACCTTGTTGTCATCGATTTTTGCCGTCAATATCGGGTAACCCTAGGACAAATCCATCCTTCGTTTTGGCGGATCGTTATTCTGATCCGTTTCTTCGTGAACAAGATCGAGGGGATGCCTTTCACCCTTGACCACCTTATTTGATTGTACAGCCCCCGCCTCTTTCGAGGCGGGTTAATAAAACTTCAGCGCCAGGCCTCCAAGGTTTTGTTCTCGAGTATAGACGAGGACAAGGATCAAGGTTGGATGGGTAGGTTCGTTCGAGTGAAGACTTCGGACCTAATA